TTTGAGGAACTAGGAAATTCCTAATATGTAGATAACATTTTGCAACGTTTAGTCATGCTAAGTCCATTACTAACACTGGACATCCAAATAGTGTCAGCAACAAAAAATGTTACTTCCTTCTCTGGCTAGCATGAAAACTTTGTCCATTCCTTTCAGATGATCAAATCTATCACAGCAGTTCATGCATTTATCAGCTCCAATCCTCCAGGCTAGAGTACTGTAAGTCACCATGTGGCTCCAGACAAAAATTCAGTCTGCACTAACTCTTTTTCACTTCCAGATTCACTTCATGGGCTGGTGCTGATCTATAAAGCTCTTAATGGGATAGGGCCACATTATCTCAGCTACTATACTGCATTCCAAAACTGGTCGAGGCAGCTGTAATTGTCCAGCACATGATAACTGGCGGAGCCCTGATCTTCCTCCATCAACTTTTAAAGATTCATTGGGTTTCAGGCCAAAAGGGACCTTCAGCTCATATAACCTAACTTCTTGTGCATGGCAAGCCATTAAATTTCACCCAGTTATTCTTTTCTTTTGCACTAAATATACTTAAATTCCTTCTCATAGTTCCAGGACAGGCTTTTAGTCAAAGTTGTTCCCTCCTTTCTTGATCATCTAATAAACTCTTTTTACAGAGCTTACAATTTCCTGTCTCAATTTTTCCTCACAATTTAATCCATATTTTTCCTCAGTTGTCTGAGTTCATCAGAGTGTCATAGTGAACTGTGTGAGCAGTGTGGTGCTAAGGGGCATCTGTGGGACAGAATATTGAATAACTGTATAGACGTCTGTAGGAGATAGTAGTTGCAGTATCTGACCACTAATCTGTTGCTGGGAGAAAAGGAGGATACAGCCTACTAGTGAGGATTGAGAGGACAGGCAGTTCCTGTTTTCTGCTAATCTTTTCTTCCAAGTGTAAGGATATTAGGGATATTTTTAAAAATCAAAATAACCACCATATAGTCCACCAATAAAAGTTCATTGATTCAACTAGGTTCATTCGGTGGTTACTCTGACTTTGTCTTTTCTGTTTCTCTCACTCCCAGTGAAGGATATGTTTTACACAGCACCTTTCTTGATTTCCATTTTTCTCCAATCCTAGTCGTCAAAGCTTCAAGCTCTGCCATGCATTCTATCCTGAACTCCTAAATATGTACAGAATATTGCAAGGTAGTATAATATGGTTCAACCCCATGCAACTCATGTCATGTCATGTCGTGCAACCCCAGTCTAGTCCTACAGTTTTTGTGTGGCTTTAGTATAAACAGCAAGTTTTCATAAAAGGACCCTTTTCATGCAAGATCAAGTTGACTTATTCACCAATTCCTTTTTATATCTCTAGGGCTTAGATTGTGGACCTGGTTTAAGGGAGTGGGATTAGTCTGTTTTGGGATTTTTTTTTTTTTGGTTAATCAGAGAAAAGAGGCTTTATTATTTGCATCACTTGTGGAAATGAAGCTAGCAGTTAAAATCTAGTTGGGAAAGTTCCAAGAATGATTTACACGAAGTGTTTTCTGTCCTCTCATGACTTTTGTGCATTTTTTTTTAAAAAAGGCAAATTGATAAACATTTCCAGCATTCATTATCAACCTGATTTCTTTCAGAGTGAAGAACATTTTATATTGAGTTCTCAGTGGAAAGGTAAA